CCCAATTGATCTACAACGACTCCTTGAGGATAAAACAATTGTGTAAGACTATTTCCTCGTCCTTGACCACCGGCTACAACAACGCCTTGTGTTGCACCTTCTTCCCATTTCATGACACGACAATTGAAATAATCAGACACATAAACTGAATGATCTCGATCGACAAATACGTAGGTGGGATAGTAGAGTTGATCAAGACGATTTCCTTTTCCATTACCACCTGCAACCACTGTTCCTTTAGTGTCACCAGTTTTATATCGTCTCACTTCATGTTTTTCATTATCAACGATATAGAGAGAACCATTGTCGTCCATTGTCAAACCGAGACAAGCGATATTCGAAATAATAGTTTCTCCATGAGTACCATTTCGACGAGGCCATCGAACTACTCTGTTATTCCCTCTATCGCTGATGATGAGACTATCGCTCTCTTTGTCGATAATCACATTTTGTGGGCCATTTAATTGATGAGTTCCATCTCCATTTCCACCAGCAACTATTTTTCCATTCGTTGCACCAGATTTCCATTCCACAATACGGTGATTCCAACAATCAGCGACGTAAATCGTTTGATCCTCGTCGACGTAAAAGCCACATGGGAAATTGAGTTGATTGGGTTCACTGCCTTCTCCATTTCCTCCAGCAACAGTGATACCATTCTGTGACCATTTTGCATTCGGATGAATATCAATGGAACTTGCACGTAATGGGACTGAAATGAAACAAAGGTATGGAGTAAAAATAAACATCAATGTCATTGAAATGAGTCCTTCTCATTTGTTTTAAACAATATTCGACTGCTCTCAATTACAAAAGCTTTTTACTTATGAGCTTGATTAGAATCTGGTTTTTCTCAATGTTGAAAATAAATATTGTTGAATTTTTTCAAATATTTTGTGTAAAAATCCGTAGTTTGACTAAAACTAACTAAAATTTAACTGGTAATGTAAAAAATTGCGATCAACTCGAATTTTTATCGTGAATGAAATTTTCCTTTTTATCGAATTTTTCCAACATATTTACTGATTTTGTTAGTTCGAGTTTGAAATATATTTAGATTTTGCATGTCATCAATTTAAAAATCATTTCATTTTTTTTTGTTTGGATTTTACAATAAAATGAGTTATAATAGAATTTGAACGTAAGGAAAAACAATTTTGTTATCAGTTGATAGGAAACGGTGCATGATTTATGTTCATCACACATTTCTGAGTGAAATGAGACAAAATAAATTTGCAACTTTTATATGAATTCGTTAAAAACATCTTGCTAGATAATAACGATAGTTAATTATACTTAACTACCATGCATAAGACGTTTTTGACTGATTCATATAAAAAAATTACAAATTTTTTGTGTAAGTATTTTTCTTTCTTATTCCATTTACGAATGTGTGACAAATATAAATCATACACCATTCGAAAGTATTTTATGCCATTAATTTTGCATCATACGTATTATTGAGTAATTTATTTCTGAATCTCAAACAAACAAGTAGTTTGTAGAAAGGCTAATCGAAGTGCTAAATAAGATAGGTTTAGATAAAATAATACGTAAGTTCGAATTTTAGTAGATAAGAAGAACTCAAAAACAAATCTTTCCTAAGTTCAAGAATATTTGAAGAATCTGTCATATTCATTATTCTGCATTGTAGCACAAACAATAATCTATATACGAATCAATCAAATCTTTTATTTTGAATTCATTTCTAATGTATTACAAATTTTCAACTTAATAGGTTATGGGACACGTTTTTTTAAACAACAGTAGTTTCGATCACGGATCGATTTCGAACTTCCTACAACTAAGTATTTTCGCTTCTTTACAAGACAATACGAATCTCCTATCGAAACATTGATCTAAAATCTTTGCAAGTTAGTGTTTTGTAGGCTAGTCAATAGGTATAAATTTTTGAGGATTCTCACAAAAAAGCAACGATCGTAAAAGATTTCATCATGATTTTAGCTATTCTCACTAGCAATAAGTGTGAAGATTTCTTCTCTTCAAATTGTTATTGTATCGCATTCTGCACTGGTTAAGTCTTAGAAGAAAGTTTTTTTGTTTGTCTAGAATTTTGTAAAGCTTGATATTGATATTGATTTGAGCTTTAAACTAGAAACAATACTTCTATGATTATATCTTGAATGGACAGTTACAGAATCGATGAAGTTAATAAAAAATGTCATGGAGTTTTATAAACTCCCTAAAAATAATTGAAATAATTTCATCCTTTTGTAATTTATCTATGAAGAATCTAGCTATAATTGAAATCTTGATTAAATTTAATACTATTTAATCAATTTTAATTTTTATTACATGTAATGTCATGTATTTTTAATATGTTTAATGTCTCAGTGCAATTGGAAGAAAGTACCTTTTAGTATTATTTCTTTTCTTGTATCGACAAAAAACAAATACATGTAAAACGGAATGAGACCTTTAATTATGTGTCAAACAACTCGAAGATGAGAGTCAGAAACAAAACAATACTTTCTGCTTTTTAAATCAAAGAGATTGGGAGATATAAAATTCGAGTAGATAATTTTATTTTCTATTTATAGATGATGGCATAGAGCTATATGAAATGCTTATTAATACTATAGATTTATTTCAATTAAATCAAACTTCTCAAATATCTCTTATACACATAGAAATAATCAGTCTGACCGGCTACCTTGCTTCGTTCTTTTGCACATAAACTTCAGTCTTATTTTAGAACAAGTACAGTCAACATTTGCTCTATATTTGATATTATATAAAATCCTATTCATTATTTTTCATATTTCTATATTAATAATATAAATAACAATTAGTTTTAATTTTAATTTTTCTATGTTGGTAATATACATAACAGTTAGTTTTATTGCTTTTATTTTCTATATCAATAATACAAGAATCTTAATTCTCATTTCTTGTTTTTCTAAATTGGCAGTTTAGAAAAATTTATTTATTATTTTTGATTTTTTATATTGATAATATAGAAAATCACAATTTTTATTTTTGATATCTCTATAACGATAATATAGAAAATCTTATTTTTGGATTCTTATTGATTTTAATTGATAATATAAATATCAGTTAGTTTTAATTCTTATTTCTCTATATTATCGATATAGAAAAATACAAAATAAAAACTAAGATTTTCTATGTCAACAATATACAAAAAATAGAGAATAAAACAAATTGTTATCTTTGTTACTAATGTAGAAAAATAAAAAATAAAAAGTAAGATTTTCTATGTTATCAATATAGAAAATAAAAAATAAATAGGATTTACTATTTTATCACTACAGAAAAATGAGGAATACAAGTAACCGTTTTGTACTCTATTAATATAGAAAGGTGAAAAATAAATATAACCGTTTTCTACACTATTAGTATAGAAAAAGAAGAAAAAAAGTGACGTAAACTATTCGAGTCTTTTCCCCAGGTACTGTTCAACTATTCTCGAATAAGGGAAAGAACAGAACAGACCATACACGATCAGATGCTAACAGGCAAGATCTACATTATGTACTGTGTATGTTTCTTTTTTTGGATCTTATATGATCTGTTAAGATCTGACAAGAAGGATCTAGTCTGTTCAAATCAGTGTCTTAATCTTTGAGTCTTGTAAGATTATTTGCTGACACCGCACAATCAAAATCTGAGAATATCTTTAAAAAAATGAACATATAAGATATTGTCCGATATTGTAACAAGATCATAGAAAAAACCTTACAAGGGTAAGACCTTATTGGATCTTGCAGGATCTAACATCTGTTTTTTCGGGGTGGGTGTGAGTGTGGCTATAGATGAATCATTTACCCACCCATCATGGTAAGAATTTGAACATATAATTTCACCAATATAAAATCGGAAAATCTAATAAAAAAATTGCTTTTCCATAAAGGTCATAAAAAACAGATCAGTTGTTAATTATGAATTGATTTGGAAATTCGTCAATAACAGTAAAACTGTATTCTGTCTTCAGATAGCCTATTATCCAAAAATATGCAGCACTATTTACAAAAAACCAAAAATCTCGCTTTCAATTTTGCAACTTATGTCCACATGGTTTCCCACTATAGACAAGCCAAGTGAAATTGAAATATAAACACTGACATGATTGAAACAAGAACAGAACATATCCTATTGTTCGAATGGCAGGAAAATATATTTATTTACCAACGCTATTTATCTCGATAATCTTGCATTTTAAGCTTTTCAACAGTAGCCGAGAAAGTGTAAATTAAAAGTAAAATAGACTCATATCTATTCAATAACTTCAACGAATTGCCACCTTGACGTATGTAGATTAGGTTTCGTTTTTAGATTCTTTTCTCCTAAGTTCTTAGAACTAAATAATTGATACAGTTGAGTTTATTTCAAAAAAATTATTTACGTTAATCTTGAAAAATTTTCAATATAATCGTATGGAATGATCACTCGTAAAATCTGAACAAGGCTCATAGCTTCAGATTGAAGTAACAACGAATTTAGCTTATTTAGAAAATAAACAAATGTTAATCAAAACTAAACGGGTTGAAATCAATCAATTAAAATTCAGATAAACTAATATAATTCTGTTTTTAGAAATATAACTGATTTCAATCATTATTTTTACAGAAGATTCGAAAAAAAAAATCAAATTTTCTTCAGGTGATTTGACTCTTATTTTAATCATATTAAGGGAGCCCCCCCTCAGAAAATCCAATTTTTCGGAGACGAGTCGAAATTGAAATTTTATCGTAGGAAGATGCACCGAAATCTCCTCTTTCAGAACATCTATGGTTTATCAAAAAATGAATTGATTTTAGCGAACTTATCGTCTAAAACTCGGTTCCTACTGTCATATTTTTCGAGAAATTTTCGGAGGTTTTTTCCAAGCTGTTTCGATTTTTTAGGCTGCTTCCCAAGGGGGAAACAGCTGATTCTGTGTCATTAGAATCAATGGAATCCCTTGGAATCAGTCAGAGGAATCAGTCAATAGAGTCAATGAAAATCAGATGTAGAAATCTGAAATTACTTATATAATTAAGCAAATAAAATCAATTAGTATTAGATGTTTTATTTATGCATGAATATCTGGTAAATAACAATGACATTAACAAAAAACTACTGTTTGTAACCATATTTAGGCTAAAGTAGTAGGGTCCTGAATCTGAAAATTCATCTTAGCAAGTAGAAATATTAATATTTTTATGCATAAAATGCGTCAAAACACGTACAATCATGTCGATACTCATATACCAATTGATTTAATTAAATATATCGGTTTTTCTGTGGCATCACATAATGACAAATTAAATATTTGATTAGAAAATATTTACATTGAAGAAATTTGTTAAATAAATCTTCATTAATTAACAATACTAAGTCTTTTATTTTACATACTTAGAAGTTAAAATAGAGAGTTAAAAGATTCATAGACTTCTATAATGAAGAATAGTGTAGTAAAATGTGAGTTTCAAAACAATATGATAAATATATATGAGTAACAAATATGTTACCTTAAAACGTCTCTTCCATAATCTTTTAATGTATAACAAAGTTTCTACTAGAATACTTGATACGGTAGATGGACAACTATTTATTTATTCTAAATTTCTATAAACTATTTCTTTCCTTTATTTGTTTTTACGGACAAAGATTTTATAAATAATTTCTCTATATCAGTGTTCATTATCTTAAATGCATTGCAACGATAGATCATTAGACCTAGATTTAACGAATATTCAACTTTTTTCTTTTCTTCCTCTCGTGTATTTTGTCTATAAGAACCGAAAAAGTTACCTGGAAATTATTTTCTCATGTTGTCTACTGTTCAGTTTCATCTTCTACATCGTTAAAATGACACGTACATCGTTAGGCACATCTCGACTTCCACAAGATGTTCTAACTTATACAGATAAACAATTCTACGACTTTATTAAAAATTTTTGTGGACAAGATACATCTGATTTATTGTCAATTCAAGCTATTCGATCCGTCGATTCATTTCTTTCCATTCAAGATGTTTATTCCATCTTTGAAGTCGACAGTGACGACGTTAAAAATATTAAAAAACAATGTGGTTTTCAAAAAAGAAATGGAATTTATACAGTGAGACCAGGTATTAAAAGCACACTCGATCATCTTGGTGCTTTGCTGAAAGAAATGAAAAAAAAATTGAAACAATGAAAAAAATTCAATCAGTTTCAATTCAATCAACAGTTTCAGCTTCTTCTTGCTCACCCTTTACTGATAGTGTATCTAATATCAATACAAATGTTACTTCGTTCATCTCGAAAAAAGTTGAAACTGAACAGCGTGCACTCATTGAAAAATCAATTCAAGAATGGTGTATCAAAAATGAAAAAATAATTAATATTTCTGATTTCAATCTTATTTCTGATGTAGATTATTATTTACAATTTAGTTCATCTCTTGACAACCTTGAAATTAAATGTTCATGTGGTATATTATGTACTGTTTTTCTTGGCGGTTCTGGCAATTTTAAAGTAAAAGTATTTTTCTAGAATATTTACCATATCATAGGGTGCTTCGTTCGACTCATTACATTAATGATTTGTATTAGTAGGAAGTTAAATGCTTTAACCTTGAATTTCAAATTCTTTTTAAACACTTTCGAAGCTACTAAAGTTAGTTAGAATAGATGCATTTTCCTAGTAAAAGTTAGAAAATTGGTCGTAGTTGAGCTATACATTTTAACCGATTTAATTCAAACATTATACTCATATTTTTTTAATAATAGTTATCAAATTATTTTCGTCATTTAAAAACCAATTGTTTATTCATTCAAACCAAAGTAAAAAAAAACAATCAAATCAACAACGAAATACAAGATAATAGTCAAGATTTTTCGTCTATTCATTCTTCACAACAAACATCAACAAGTGCTGGTCGAAAACGAGCTGGACGAACAATAGAAAATCATGCAACCAAAAAAAAGATTCGGAAAAATTAGGCATTATTCAATAGATTATTTATACATTATATAATTTCATTTTTTTTGTATATATCTAGTGATTGTTTGATTTCATTGCTAGTAATGATTTATATTTAACCTCAATGACTTTTTTTATAAATACTTAGAAGATTTTTTAATAAAAGAGAAAATATTTTGTGGTGAAATACCTGGTTATAGCAGATATAAAAAGAGGAGGATAGAAAGACTATATAAGCTTTTTTTCCCTTATCTTCTTTATATTTTTGCTAATTGAAATCATTTCCCGCTATGTTTCTTTCTCTTTTTCTTAGCGTGTACCTGATTAATCTCATTTACATTCATTCTACCGTGTTGATTTATTTACAGAACATAATAGTATGACTGAACCATTACTATCAACTCCACAAAATATACTCGATCTTCAAGGTGCTGATTTGTTTGCTTATGTCCGTCGTTATTGTAGTGAAGATATTGTGAAATATTTTGAACTTCTTGGTATTCGTTCAATTGACTCACTTCTTGGAATTAATGACATTTTTTTGCGTTTGAAAGAAGATTATCTTGAATTAACTGATATTAAGAAAAAACTAACATTTAATCGACCTGATGGTACCTGTATAATCAAGCTGGGAATCCAATATGATATTAATAAGTTATTTGAAAGTCTTCAAAATACATTAGTCAACGATGAACAAGTAACAACTGCTGCTACCGTCAAAGAAGACCTAGTCTTATCATCTGAAGTTATTGAAAAATATCCATTTCTTCAACGTTTAGTCCATTTTTTCATCAAATTATCTCAAAATGTTAATCCAACAGATGAACCATTTTTACATCACTTCCTCGAAAATCTTCTTTCAAATTTATCACTTGCCAAAAGTCGATATCGTTACAGTGGATTTACTATTGATTTTGCGCTCTGCTTATCTATTTTAGCAGGACGCAATGCTTACGAATTTATCCGTCTCAATATACCTGGTGCATTGCCTAATTTAACCATAATTCAAACAAAAATAGCTAAAGAAGGATTTCATACAGTTGAAGGTGAATTTCGTTATGATGATATGAAAAAATATTTAACAACAATTGATTCAACATTTGTATATTGTGCAGAAGATTGCACTTCTGCTGTACGCAAAATTGTATATGACGTTCAATCAAATTCATTTGTTGGATTTACACCTCCACTTGATGCACATGGCATGCCACGAATACAACATTTCCAAACAAATTCATTTGAAGATTTAAAAGCTTGGTTTGAACAAAAAGATATTTCTCATCTAATAAATTTACACATGATTCAACCAATATGTATTAGTTATAAAAAAAACTTCTCCTTTTGCACTTGCTGCATATGGAACTAATGGAAAATTTACTTATCTTGATGTGATTCGTCGTTGGTTTAAAATGTTTGAAGAAAGTTTACACCGGGGTGTTCGTATTTTGGGATACGCAACAGATACTGATCCAAGGTATTTATTGTCAATGAAATTAGTATGTGGTTTTTTTGGTACTTTGTTGAATAGGCCAACAATAGGACATTCTTCATTATTTAAAGTTGCTATACCAGTTTCTTGGTCATGGTTTTATTTATCAGGTGAACAATTATTTTTATGCATGCAAGATGCAATGCACATATGTACAAAACTTCGAAACAGACTTTTGTCATCTTCATCTTACATGTTAATGGGTAATAATACAGTTAGTATTGATTATTTATTACACCTTATCGAATCTAAATCGAAATTCGAGCACAATTTGGCAAAATCAGACATTTGTCCTTGTGACAAACAAAATTATAGATCATGTGAAAAATTATGTGCTTCTTTGGAATATTTAAAAGGTATAAATGGTTCACATGCTACGGTTGTATATCTTACCATTATTCGTTGTATAATATTCGCATTTATTAGTGCATCAACAACAACAGCTGATCGAATTTATCATTCTTGGTTAGCTGTATTTATATGTCGTTTATGGCGTGTATGGCTTCATTTAGTACCAAAACAAGAATTAAATGATCGTATATCACAAGCGAACAACATTTCCGAAAAAAATAAAGATAAATTCAACAAAAAGAAAAACAAAACACATTTTTTTATTTCATCCCCAACTTTTTTGTGTATTGAAACTACGTAATGCACATCATCTTATTTATCTAACATTGTTAGTTGCTGATAATCAATTACCAGTTGAAACATTGAAAGTTTCTAGTTTCAATTCGCAAACATGCGAAAGTTTTTTTAGGTAAACACGAGCAACATCTGGAACGTTTTCTGTATCTGCTAATTTTTCTGTTCAACAATATCTTCATCGGCAAGCAAAAATTTCAATATTACATTCAATCAAAACTAAAACAAACTCATCGTTTACAAGTACTAAATTTAAATTTCCGAATCATCATAAAACACAACAGAATCACCAACAATCAACAATTCCACCAGAAAAAATGACTAAACAACAAATAGAAGAACAAGTTAATCGCGCATTCCAAGATGCTTTTAATCTTTTAGCTCCTTTAGGTGTTGAACAAATTTTGAAAAAATCAAAAATTATTAACATGAAACAAGCTAGTCAACATATTCACAAGCATTTCACAAAGTCATCAAAAAAAGCAGATTTCTTAATATCAATGACAACTGATGAAAACGATGTTCAATCTGATTCTGATTTAAAACCTGATTTTGATTCAGAATATGATTCTGATTCAGAGCAAAGTACTATTGAAGAAGATGAACAAAACGAATTGGATTTATATGATTATGATAGTGAAGATGAAGACGATGGTGGTATGAATTTATTGGGACATACGACCAATAGTCTTTTAAAGACTACAAAAGGACTTTGTGATACTATAAATTCTGATTTGAAAGATTCATATTTTTTGGTAAATATTGATGGAAAAAAGAAATATCTTCATAAAAATACGGTATGTTGGTATTTGACAAATGAAAAACATAAACTATCATCGGACCGTTTGAATTGCGTAATGCAAAAATAATAAACTTGTTTGTTTTTTAAATAAAAAAATAGAATAAACATGTATACTGCTAATCTCTGATGTCTAATTATTCGATGATCATTGTAGGTATTATTTTGTTGCTAACACTTTTGCATACTTCCTTGCTTAGACAAATATTTCGGCACATTTCTAGCACTGCTTGAAGTCATGGACATTCCTATGGAATCACTTGAAATCAATGGAATCCCTTGGAATCAATGGATTCCCTTGGAATCAATGGAATCCCTTGGAAACAATGGAATTCCTTGGAAACAATGGAATTCCTTGGAAACAATGGAATCCCTTGGAATCAATGGAATCCCTTGGAATCAATGGAATCCCTTGGAATCAATGGAATCACTTGGAATCAGTGGAATCAATGGAATCAATGGAATCCTAGAATCAGCTGTTTCCCCCTTGTTGCTTTCTCTTTGCATCAGCATCTCGTAAAGTTTTTTTTCTATACTAATCACTAAGAGACTATGAATACTTTATATTGAGATCACATTTTTATAGCCTGTCTTGAACATGGATATATAAATCAGGTGATTTTCGGAAAAATCGATTTCTAATACTTATTTTCCGTTTTTCTCAAAACGAATTTTTTCTAGCATACCATTTACGCGGGCAAGATTTTTTCAATAACGACTCCATAAATAATGGATAATTTTTTTTGTTGAATAGAGGACAGTTAGGGCTAGGTCGTAATAGAGTCCGATTTTTGAATTTCTCTTTTGCTGAAAAAAAAAAGTTAGATATTTCATTTTTTTTAGCAGGGTTTTTGGGTACAATTTCGTGGATTTTGCGGAAAAGAGCTTTTAATAATCAAACAAAGGGAAATTCAAAAACCGGGCTCTATTACGACCTAGCCCCAAGGGTGCTCTACAATCTGAAAACGGTGCGGGCTTGTTAGCTCGTATCCTTATTGTGAAATCCTTGCCCGTGTAAACGGTAATGAATCGACTAGAACTCGTGCATTTCTTTGAGATTTGGGAAGATATTTTAACCATAAGCTATTCTAGTCAAGACTAATATTCTGGGAAATTTTGGTTGCAATCGGATGAAAAATAACAAAGTTGGTTTCTGAGGGGGCCTTAAAGTAAAAAAACATATCAAATATTAAAACTCAAAAAATCCGAGATTTCTTCCAAATTTAAATGAACTGAAAGAAAAAAGAATGTAGATCGTTGTCACTCATTAATTTCTCTTTTTTGACTGCTGGGGATAGTTTATAATTATTTTGCAGTGTATTCATATTTAAATGCAGATGCATACATTTCTTTCATTAGATTATAGCATCAAACTTCGAAATATTCATTTTTGAGTACAGTTTCAACAATGATGAATACTATGATTTTCTTCCTCAAATTTTTATTCTATTTCATTCGTAGTATAAAAATTTTTTCTAGAACTTTTTGAAACGATTTATATTCATTGTGATTTTAGAATTAGACGCAGTTTTTTTTTGTTGTATTCAGGTTTGAATAAGATTTCCTTCTATACATCGAATGGTTATTCTATTATCGATATTTCGAACAGTTACAAAATACGATTCGTTTTAATGGAAAAATTTAATTATTTTATTTCATCATACTATTCATTATTGCAAGTGTTTTAAAATTTTTATCTCAAAAAAATCTTGTCTATTATTCTACGAAATTGTCTTCTAAATTGCTTCGTAATGTGAAATATGTATTCAATGTAGTAAATAAAAATTGTCTCTAAGTTATAGAAAGCAGTGAAACAAACAAGTTCTTTTTCTAACAGAGAAAAAGAAAAAAACAAGATTAATTTCTGTTTCATTGATTTTAAAGTGCTCTACAAACATACAGATCGACACACGAATAAATACAGTCGGATTGAATAATAATTATATCCAGAAGTCTATTAATGTATAATAGAATCAAAATTAAAAATTCTATTATCGACACTAATACGGACAAAATACATTATTTTAAAGAATGTCCGACCATCTCCAAAACAACCTGTAGTTTTTCAAAAAAATTCAAGACTGTCGGAAATATTATAGAATCACTACGAAGCGAGTATCTTATAAATTATTTTTCATTAAACTTTCATCATCAAGAAAATTTAAATGATACATTTTGATACGACCATGTTTGTTATATTTCACTCATGGATTTCTTCGACGATCAGTTTATTTATCTAACAAATAAAGCTCATTTTTCTAAAAATTATTATTTTTTTTTTTTATAATAATTATCGAACATCAATCGAACAATTTTCTTCAACAGAGACGTACATTTTTAAATATGGTCATTTTTACTTTTATTTGCGATGCGATGGGAGAAGAGGCGAGTGATAGTCGTCGATTCGCCAAACTGCTAGATCCGTTAGTGTATGCATGAATGAATATCGCTGCATATCAATTATTAGTATCATTGAGTCATATATCTCCAAGTTTTATGATATAATAAGTGTGAATGGTTTCCATACGAACGTATACACAAATGTAAAAAAGTTAATACAACGTTTCAAGTAATCTCTTTTTCAATATATAAACGAGTTTTGGAAACTAAACACCTATGCATCATCTTATTATTCAAGAATAACAAAGGAACTGTTTTTACATCGAAAATGAGCGAATAATAAATTTTGCGATGGTGCTGTCGCACCAATTATTTTTTATATGTAAAAGTTCTTGCCTGTTTTTTAGAACTATAACAGATTCCCTATATTTTCTTTGTATACTTTCTGTCGCCACTTCGCTCCATATATCGTCACAAAAGCCTTTCTTTTATAAGAGATTTCTATTATCTTCCTGTTCTATTTTTCTATACCGTGCAAGAACTCACTATGACCTTGTCTTTATGAAAATGAATTAAATGAACAACTGAAAGTAGTATGATACATTACTGTACAGTTGAAAAATTAAACGTGCGCTTTGATATACATTTATAGAAGATCTTTATCATCTTCATATGTTAATAATAGTTTCGATTTTGATGGATGAAGAGAAATTATGAAATGTGAAGGAAATTTTTGAGAAAGTACTTTTCTTGTTAGTTCTTTTTATACTTAATTATTTGTTTACATAAAAACATATTCTCACTCATAGTCAAAGTTAGTTTTTCTATTATTTTACAATTTTCTTTGTTTTTCTTCTTTTTCTACGTAATTGAATAAGATTGTTTCTCCCTTTTGAGTAAGTTTCAGTATTAGTGAAAAATAATCAGTGATATTTTAGAAATCACTAATTTCTCGATTTGTAATTTAAACCCTGACAAATGTCTTCTACACTATCAAGAACGAATGTTTCATAATGTTTTTTGCCTTTCTTCTGTTTTCAAATCCACAAACACTCCTTTTTGTTCTAAAGCTAGTCTATTTTAGAAAAAAATTTCAGTCTTTCCGAAGAATCTCTTATTGACTTGGATAGTGCGCGAAAGTTTTCTATCTTTCTGTATATTTCTCTGTTGTGTTGCATTCATTTGTTACAAAAGATAATTTGAACACAGTTAACGTACTCTTACTTGACAAGCACGAAAACTGTAAATTTTTTCGCTTATAGGACTGAAAATTCTCTATTATTTGATACGCTTGCGTTTAGGTATATATTTATGCATTGAAAAATAATCCAAGTATTATTTAAATACTCTTCTTGGTAATTAAGAAAAAATGAATTTTGTAACTGTCCATTTTTTGTTATTTACTTCGCCAAGTCAGAGTGATAAAAAATGTGAAGCTCTATCAGAAGATATAATTACTTGTTCAAAAATTTATTCTTATGTTGCTAATAAACGAGAAATGCACAAGAAAGTGATAGGAAAAAGATCTAGTTTTTTATGAATCTGAGTGTAGCTGTAACCGAAGAAAAGATCACTACTCATTCACTCTCAACAGATCTCTCATTCATATACACACCCATATCAATCTTCAAAGAAATTGGTGAGATATCACTCAAACATTTTTTGAAAAGCACTTCTGACTTGAGCTTGGTTTTCTTTCAAAAATCAGTCTTTGTTCAGAAGCATTCAAATCACGTGAAATAGGATGTATGTGTGACACATCCAAACGCATTCTAGAAGATATTTTATCATTTTACAAATGTGAGTTATGAGTAGGTATAATGTTCATTGAATTTCTGATGACAACATTCGAAAGCTTGATTCGAAAATACAATAATTTGAAATTTTTCAATTGGATATTCAATTGAATAAATGTTTTTATTCTATTTGTCCTTCAGCATAAATCGTCAATTTACACAGATCAGTGTATGACTTATCGACAAACATATTTTTGTGGGAACATTTCTAAACTTGATCTGAAAGTTGCAGTAATATCAACTAATAGATGTGAAGCACGCAAATGTATGACGCATAATTCAGGTTCATTTCACTATTCTGATCGTACTTTTCTTATTTTCGCATCAAATCTTCAAGTTTTTACTACTTCGAAGAAACTGATGTTAGTGTACAATACATTTGAAGTTACAATTCAGAGCTAACCGTTCAATTTTTCTATTTTTTTGGATTAGACTGTTTTCATTTTTTACTCTGAACAGATAAAGTTTTCAAGCATCAACAACACAATATGTTTATATTTTTTCCTAAAATGAGTATCCATTGTTATTATGAGTATTTAGCTTTCAAATCATATCTCTTTAAATGTTTAGGTTTAACTGACAACAGACGCAACCTTAGTTGTGAGTATCGAAAATTGTTGAAATACTCTTCATTGATATATTTTCGTTGATAACTACTAATAAGAACTAATGAATACAATCCATTTCACGTTGAACAGTCACATATAACATCATAAAGATACAAAAACCAAGTCACTTTGTTGGATACGTTACTGACATACTGAGTTGTAACGAACCATGAGTGATATCTTGAAAAAACGATATTACGACAATAGATATCCATAACATAGGAGTGGATATATAAGCTTTTCTCATTATTAACTGCATTGGTTACAATCTATGACTTCGATGTAAAACGATCGGATATCAGTTCAATCACTAAAAGTGATACTTT